CCTTTGGGGGAGGGGGGGTAAATGGTTTACCCCTAAAGGCAGCAAAAAAAAAAGGTACCCCCCCCCCCCCCCCCCCCCCCCTCCAACGCTCCGTCTCGAAAGGGACGCGTGGTCAATGGTCAAATGACTAAGGCAAGCAACAAATGAGTACGCCCTCCCCCTCCAACGATCATTTGGTTCTCACCAAGCGGCCCTTGAGCGGGTCTTTCGTGCCCCCAACGGGGCGCACGCCATGCGGGAAGCGCGGGTCGAACACCGTGAGTCGATTGAAGTGCGGCTCCACGGTGTCGATGAAGTGCTTCTCCTCCAGGCCGACACCCGGCTGGAAGCTCCGCCAGTAGTCCAGCACGTGCGGCTTGAGAATCATCGTCTCGCCCCCTGTGAACCCGCGATTCTCCCAGTCTGAACGAAGAGGCCGTGAGGGTGGGTGAAATGTGAGAAGCTTCCTGTCCACAGTAGTAGATGAGCTCAGTCTTCAGGCTCAAGGGTGTGGCATGGACCCCAAAGGCGCGGGTGTAAAAGAATCAGCACTCTCGCTCCGTATGTTGCGATTTTGACGACAGCGACCGAGCCGAGGCGGCAAAGAATGGACAGGTGTGCTACACAGCAGCAGCAGCTAGGACGCGCACTGTTTTGTACTGCCGGGAAAACAAAACATCGTCTCTCTCAACTGTCATCCTTCACCGTTTCCACTTCACCATTTCCAAATAGAGCATGAACAAGACCGTTCCGACTAGCACATCAAGACCAGATGGGAAGCAGTCCAAAATTTACCAACGCTGCCTGCGGGGCCTTCATCACAACGCGCGAAGAACAACGTCCGCCTCCCCAAACCTCTCGCTGGTCTGTAGGGTCGAAAACACGTGACAAAGCGCTTCCCCCACCTGTAAGTGATAGCACGAACGCCCAGGGCCCGTGCCAAGAGTCGGTGTGGTATCGCTGCTCGCACCCGTCCACGTAGACGCTGAGCCACGGTGGGGAAATCGCAGTGCAGCCCAGCCTCTCTTGCCCGAACTTAGTGAGCGTGTCCAGCAGCTCGGTGAATCCCTCGCGCCCGAAATAGTTCTCTGCAGGTGTCCTCATCTACAAAAGCGCAGGCATTGGAAGGGAGTAATGATAAAAAAATGTTCACACTTCCCCTTGTGACAGCAGGGACATCAAGCGACGGATGAGCCAACCACCTGAGGCGGGACCCCGGGGGGGTGGGTGGGGAAGAACCACACACACAGGCGTCAAGAAACCAACCACCCGCAGCCAGCTCGTTACACCAAAACAGCAAATCAAAACCAAACTCGGAGGAAGCGCGCCCTCCGAGTCTTGCAGCAACGACGACGGCTCCTCGCCCCTTCCTTCCCTCACCAGCGTATACTGGTCCGGGACATGCCACCAATCCCAGACAAACCGCTCCGGGCTCCCCTCCCTCGGCTTGGAGAAGCGGTCGTGAAATACCCCTCGGAGCCGGGATGCCGTCTCGCCCTCAAGGAACGAGTCCATCACCAGGACGTGCTCGGCGCTACTGCCCAGCGTGTCTACCGGGAGAGCGGGCTCCGCCTGACTAGCATCTACCGTCTCGAACCTGTGGCGGAGATCAGGGAGGCACGCGCGTTCGAGGAGTTGGCCGCCGCGTGGTTGAGAAGACGGAACTAATAGTGTTGTGTTCCCTACGGAGCGCCACTTGTCGATCTCGGCTCCGCAGGGGACAACGGAACGGAGCGAGATTCGCCCCATGTTCCCTGGTAATAGGAGAGGAGTTTTCGCGTCGCGGTATGTGCTGTAGTCTACAGGAGACCTCACGATTGAATCAACGAAGGATTGCAATGGGTTGACGTGGGGAGCCGGACGAAACGAACAGGACGCAGGCATTTGCCATTCACGCGGTTACTTTTGGCACCGTTTGTATTTTTGCGTTTGAGATACTAGTGTAGATTCTTACGAAAGTGCTCAAGTATGCCATTCAAGAAACGAAGTCAAAGATCGGTGGCGGTGTTGGCGCAGAACGCTGCCGAAATGAAAAATCGATTAATCCCACCAAGCCTGTGCGCCGCTTGCGTCCGTCAACAAAACTCACGTGGGCTTGGCGAAGAACTCAGCAATCTCCTCGGGGGACACATCCACGGTGCCAAGGAGCTCCTCTCCCTCACCTAGCTCCATGTCAGAGTCAACCCCGACGTCCGACCCAATGCCCGCGGCTTCCAACGGAGATCGTCTTCGTCGGCGCTCAGCCCGTGCTGCGACGTTCCATACGCCCCCCCCAAGGCACGTCGTCGACGAAGTCGTACACGGTATTCTTCCAGCCCCGTGCCCGCTGCTCGCGGCCCTCAAGGAAGCCCCCCACGATGTCACCCCTTGCGGTTGACCCATGCCGACCGCTGCTAGAAAACATGTTGCGCGTACGCTGGGTCTCGGCATGCTAAGAGATGCACAGCAGGCTCTTTCTGCGGGTATGGTGCTGCAATAGAGCACGTAGGTCGTTGGGAACGGCAGGAGAGGTACAGTGTGATTCAGAGCGCCCTCGTAGGTGCAGGCAGCGATCAGAGGCTTGTGAGCGAGCCCGCGGAGTTACCACGATGGGTGATTGTTCGTGCGCCTGGTGATGCAAGCTATGTCCAGAGACAAAGAGATCTACGCGTCCCCTCGATGGGAACAGGTGACCACGTTGTGGGGCTGCACAGCTGCCAGTACAACATGAAATAATAGCGATAGCATGCATATAAAATGTAGCACGGCGGTAGGTGGGTTGCATATCCAACGAAAATACGAATTCGTCAACAATACATCCACCAACAACGAAGCGATTCCTGAGGCGCCGGTTTTCATGATATCCTGCTCCGGTCCGGTGTGGTGGGGCATGCGGTGTTGTGCGCAAAAAAAAAAAATACTGCAACTGCTGCTGTGACTGCTACCACATATGTTGTGCTACATACCCTACCGCTGTCTTCGCTTACCGACAGGATGAAGGTCCTCTTTCTCACACACACACTCGCTCGCTCCCTGCGACTGTCCTGCTGTCGACACAGGGTCAGAAGAGGCTCGAACCTCGAACCGCAAACGGACAAGGGGCGTCCGCAATCCGCAGGTAGTTTGGAAGATACTAGGTACCACACGAAACCTACGCCATTTGTTACCGTTCGGGATGCCGGCGGCATAACTTCATTGGATTTGAGATTTGAGAGCAGAGTACACATGGAGACACCCAGTTCCTGAGAGAAGATTTCAGGTTACGCGGGGATATACACGTCCGTACAAAGCTTAAGAGAAGAATATATCAATACCTAGCAGATTTTCTTCAGAGAGGCGGAGTGCACCACACGCGGAGGGCGATCAAGACGTCGAGACGTCAAGACGCCGAGCGACACATACATTCGTTCGTCGTGTTCATGTTTGTTTGCAGAAAAAGGTCGCGAGGATGAAGCTCCGAACGGTAGACGTCACAAGCATGGCGGCAGCGATCCGGAGGGAGGCCGGTAAGGGGAGTGCAAACTACTGTACTGCTCGAGAGTTCTGCTCAATCAAGACGCTCTACAAGTAAACATCCAGTTCCAACCTGGTACATACAGCCGTTCGTTTCTCTCGGTGCGGGCTTCCCGTATGTGGGTCACTGCCGCCTGCATGCTATAAACGTGCTTTCCTTTTTGTCCCCGAGCCGCGTGGCGTCTCTCGCGCGGGAAATCTTCTGAGAAGGTTGTTGCATAGTCTAGTCTAACCAGTTACAGACCACCACCGAACGACGTATCAGTGCACACGGGTCATCACGCAGCCTAAACTCATTGCGCCCTCAACTTACAGCATGTTGTTGTTCCCACACGCCCAACATATTGCCCACCGAGCGCGCTGTTGTACGTACGCGGAAAGTTGAGTTTGTTCTTGGCACCTACGTTCAGATCTACAAAATCCAGGCACGCGGAATTGGCTCAGCAGTAATATTTCGCGATGGAATGGAAAGGGCATATGGTCATGCAGCATCTTGCACAATGCGGTCAACACTTAATCAAGACTCCACAATATGAGAATGCCCCACCCCTCCAACCAATCCTTTGGTACAAAACACGCACGCACGTCCATCGGCGTGTTTGAAACGTCTTGATTTTACGATGTATAGCCTAGGTTTTGTGACCTGCTTTGTGCGTGTTCTATTGACAGAGCACGCCCGGGTGGTGGAGATTCGAAAGAGGGAAGAGGATCGAAAAGCTCGACACAACTTGCGCCGTCGGGCAATCAGGAAGAGGCAGCTAGTGGAAGCGTTTCAACGGCGCCGGGCCCAAAACTTCCTCAAGGAGGACGAAGTGACGGGATGCACGCGTGCACCACCACCCCTACCACCGCCGCCACCGCCGTCACGACGGGGCCGAACGCAGCGCCATCGCTACGCCGATGCCCCGAAAGACGGGTATATTTGGTCCGATCTCGGCCGTACGCCCAAGGCACGCTTGGCGATGGTCGTACCCCCCGTCGCAGTGGAGCGGGAGAAGGAGTTTATCGAGCGGCTGTTGAGGAAGGTGAAAGAGGAAGATGTCGAGGCTAGGGAGCGAGCAAGGATGCAGGACGAGCGGGTAGTGGCTCAGCGGGAAAGCATGCGGGTGAAGGTGAGGCTGGGAGTGCTTGGACCGTTAGGTCTGCGTCTGGTTGACAACTTATGGCTTTCAACAAACGGTACCCCTGTACCATGGCTACACCACGTAGACGGGAGGCTGCGAGGCGGTGTCTACGTGACGCTGGCATGCCATCTCGGAAAGCACAATGCATGCGCACGGGATATACCAACCGCCAGGATATCAGGTGTTGTCGTGTTCCCGAAGAGATTGTTCCTGCTGAATATGGACAATTCCCAGATTCATAAGTTTTCATGTCGGTGGTACCTTCGTGTTGGCAGGTAGCATTCAACAAGGCACAGCGCTCGCATAGCATGGGGGCACTGTCGAAACGGCCAGGCACGGGGAAACAACAGCTGGTCAAGGAGATCGTGCAGACGAACGAACAGGTTCAACACACTGGAGCTGAAGCCCATGATCCAGTCCCATCCACGGAAGAGGAAGGCAGAGGGAACACACAACGCAGGAACTTACGCCGCATTGTTCTTTCCCAGAGACACGAAGAGTTAGCTCGCCCGAGGAAATCCCAAGGAATATTCAGGTGCAAAGTCCATTCTCCACCCGCAAAAGACGAGGTTGTCGAGACACTTCACGCTTTATCGTTTCTGTGATGCTGCCAGATGTCTTTTTTTTTGTTACGTCGCCGTCAGTTGAAGGCAGGGATATGGACCACAACCCGTCATTCTCCTTGCCTGACGTTGACAAATAGTTTGCGGCTTTGTGGTCAAGTGTTTCATTTTTCAACCTTGTCCGCAGCTCTCCTCCAAATAACGCTGTGGAGTAAGAGAAGGAATTCTCAACCACCCATTTCACAATCGACGCCCGATTCTTCTCAACATTGGGTCACAGGTCATTCGTCAAGTCGGGAAGTACAGACTTCGTTGGCCTCCTTCACTCTAACCCTGCGCTGAAGGGAGTTATAAAGTGGCGTTTCGAAGATCAGCCGACTTGCTAACATCGCGGCCCAGGGTACCGAACCAGGCTGGATTCACGGTGCTTATCTCTGTGTGCCCGCGCCACAGCAGCGAACCCCGAGACAGGGTGATGAAAGCTGTACAGAGCGAGTCAGCCAAGCTACGCGCAGACAAAGGGGTGGAGACGTCAACATGCCTTGGTGCACCAGTTCATTCGCGCGCGTGCGTGATGTTTCAAATGATCCGTTCGGAAGCGGTCTTCAAAATGTTGTTCGAAAAGTCCCGCCTGCCTGCTGTGTTGGGCATGCATGCTGGATCTGTGCCGTTCGAGTGTATCGCTGAATCGACAAGTCCATGTTCGCACGCACAACAGCGGACTCAGAGGGAAAAGGGGCGGCTGGCATCCTGTCCACAGAGCGTGGTGACCTGAAACAAAGTTTATGGAATGGTATGGACGGGGTGGAGATACCCAACAACGGCTTCGGGAATCCATGTACGTGTGGAAACCAGGATAAAAGTATCTTCCAGAGGTAATGATGCACTTGCGACCCGCAAAGATCGTCGGACTACATGAACAAAGTTCTACCGTCCGAAGACATTTGCCAGGAAAGATTCACAGAATACCGTGACTATTCATGTGACTCTCGGACATGGGGAGATGGCGGCGAAAGCGCCCTACACACCTCACTCTCACCCCTTCCACCTTTCTTGAACTAGCTAAGCCGAGACGATCGGCTACGCTTAGCACTTCCTCGCCACATTGCACGAAAAGCGAAATACCTCCGCTGGTGAACGGCTATTCGCCACTTCAGGGACCCTTACTCGTAACGACGACGTGGCAAAAATTCTTCCGCATACGTGAAGACTAAAATCCAGCAGGAAGGAGCACGACGCGACACCATCAGTCATTCGTCGTTTTATCCAAAAAAGTTATGGAACAAAACCGCTCTTATCATTCATCCATCGACGAACCTTGACAAAAAAAACTTCTGCACATGGAACATTCAGAAAATACAGCATAGACATGCCACGGGAACCACAAGTTTGGACAAACGATAAGCAGCCTTCCTCCGAAATAAACCCGACAGTCTCGCACCAAGGCAAGAGGAATTTCAGTTTCATACCGCCATAACTACACTTTCGTCGTTCAACTTTACGACTCTCTCGCGCTTGCGACAGACCCATAAGAGCCCAACCGGCCATCAACAAAAAAAGCACACGTCAAGGTGGGGACTAAGGCTTGATCTCGGATCAGGGAACAAAAGATTATCCAGCATATACAAGACGATAACATGAGACGTGCACAGCACAAAACTAGACTATGACTGCTGTCCGGACCTCAAAAGGATATCACTGCTGTTACCAAACAAGACCGAAGCAGGTGGACTGCCTACGTCTAACGCGCTAAGTGAGCGGCCACGAAGTTACACAAAGAAACCGCGAGGCTGACAACAGAAAGTGTGGCCAGGTGACGGCATTGCAAAACGTACGCCGTGCATTTACATAGCTATTGAGGTTGTTATCTGGAGAGCAGGAGGTCCTTTTCACAATAATCAACACGGCATCATTCCTTCAGCAGCCTCCGGACGCCCTCTAGACTGAGAAAAATGTCGATCGACAAGGCCAAAATACAAGGGTTCACACCAAACGACCGAAGCTGTCTTAAAGTTGCGGCGAACTCGTTCTTCTCTCTCGGCCGAAAGACATCGCTGGTGACACGGGGAAGCGCTAGGCTATCCGTCTAGGGTCCGGATGCTTCTACGCCACACCGCCAAAATGATAAAGTAAAAAAACAGAAAAAGCACATCTACAGACAGCTTTTCTTTCCAGCGATGCCCTTTGAGTCTACACAACGAGCGACCCCGGGATCATCCCCCAATGCCTACGGAGTGCTCCCAAGGCTCAACGACTTACACAGGAACGTCGCCAACAAACAATGCTGTACGTGTGGCTTTGGCAGGAGATTATCTCACACTTTTGGCATGGTGAGGAAAAGACCCACCCCTCCCCCTTCACTGTACCAGCCAATCAATTTCTGTCAAGATTCTTTTGCTCGATAGTTTCTTCGTACAGCCATACGGTGATGCTCGTTCTTGGGATCTAAATACACACCGAATTTGTTCAGGAAAAGCTAACTGCATACCTGTGGGCACCGAAGCGCTCGCTCCACACACGGGCGTACTAAAAGCCCCCCCCCCCCCTCCCCTTATTTGCCATCGGGGTTTGGGTTTTCGTCGCTTGGCAACGACGTTGTAAAACAAGTCAATTCACTTCGTGAACTCGGCAACCAGGTTACCGTTTTTTTTTTACCTCGTTTTTTTTTTGGCGGTAACCATAATGGTGGTCGAGTAGATCATGTTGTGCGGGGTGGAGAACCCTCACTCCGCGCAAGGGGGATGATCGCACCACCTTGTGTTAAAATGGTCAAGCATCCTCGAGGCAGTTACACAGTGCTTACAACTGTCTCTGGAAGTGAAAGCCCCAGAAAATAAATTAAGTCATACATAGCTGTCATCCGTACGCAAGCAAGTAAGCACAAGATGCTGAACACCCTTAGCAGGATGCAGCTCACCCTTCATGCGACTCGCCGAATACCTCACGGCGCTTCGCGCTTGGTGATGTGAGAGCCTGGTCCGGTGAGAACCCGGCGTGCTCCGTCCCGGCTTTGTAGGGATGCGAGGTCAATGGTATAACGACTACGGCATGCACGACTATGAGTACACCCCCCCCCCCCCGAGGTCAATGGTCTAATGACTACGGCATGCACGGCTATGAGTACACCCCCCCCTCCTCTACGTGCTGCGGGTCCCCCACCGCGTCCCGCCAAGTGTAGCAGCAGTCCCATCGCCGTCCTTCTTCCTCTTCCGCAAAGCGCCTCCTCGTTGTTCCGGGCCTCCAGCAGCGCCTTCGCCGCCATCGCCTTCGTGTCTCGTCTCGATCTTGTCGGAAAGTCGGCCGTGCTCCAGCAGCAAGGCCCGGTAGTGCACCTCGGCGGCGTGCACCCTCTTGGTCATCCTCCCGACGTTGAAGATCAGGACGGCGAGGGCGCCGGCCACCTGCAGCAGCGCCAGGACGACGCTCGCGGCGATGAAGAACGCCTTGCTGCCGGGCTCGGCGCTCGACTCCGAGGAGTCCGCCGAGGTGACGTACCTCAGCAGCTGCGTGTGGAGCGAGGCCGCGCACACCAGGATGCCCACCGAGAACCGGTACCCCTTCCGGCAGTAGACGGCCCACGCGTAGAGCATCGCCCCGGGGCCGACGATCGTCGCGACGATGATCGCCGTGGAGACGATGAACGTGTCCCCGTCGACGTAGCGACCGTCCCCGCGGCCCATCCCTTCCCAGATTGCCAGCAGCCACACCCCGGCCTGCTCCCCGTCGCGCGCCAGCCACGCGCTGAAAACCGCGAAGGACCCGTCGATGAAGGTCGAGGTGGCGGCGAGGGCTAGCGCCCACGCGACCGCCAGCCTCTCCCCGCGGGACAGCTTCCCCTGCCTGCGGTGCCGGTGCGGGCTGCTCTCCGGCAGGTGCAGCAACGCGTTCCGCGCCGCCCGCGAGGCCACCGCCGCGCACACCACCAGGGCGAAGGTGACCACGCTCAGCACCCCGCTGACGATGAGCATCGTCCCGACCTTGGTCTGGACGCTGTACAGGCTTTCCCCCTCCGCGTGGAGGTTATCCCACGCCTGCATCACTCGCCGGTCGCTGGGCCCCACGCTCACCAGCTGGACCACGGTCAACGAGGCGTACAGCGCTCCCGCGGGAAGCAGGGCCCCGAAGTGGATGCGGAAGGCGTCGGGACGACCGCTCCTCGCGGCCCACGCGCCGACGGCCCCGGCCAGCAGCAGGAGGTACCCGCCGGCCACCAGGAGGTAGGTGGAGGTCACGTTGGCGCCGAGGCCCAGCGCCACGGTGAACGACAACGCGTAGCCGCCGTATCTGATGGCGCGAGCACCACGGGGCGGCCGGGGCGGAGGCGTGGCAGCAGCAGCAGCGGAAGAGGGGGAGACAGACGCGAGAGGGAGGGAGAAAAATTTGATGGTTGTGAAAGCCGACAGCTGAAAGCTGGTGCCGACGCAACACGTTTCATTTTATTTTGGGCGTCTCGGATGGAATTTTTCAAGCGGTTGGCTGATTGGTCTGCCGTGGAAACCTCGCGTTGTTCGTCCTGGGGCTCAGCACACAAAACACTGGCGGAGCAGTCTACACCATACCCTATACCGGTACGTAGTAAACAGGTATCAACACCGGTCGGCGATGTACTGCCTTAATCACCCGAAACTAATTGAGAGCGCAGGTAGAGCGCCTTGTTGCTCCCAACGTTTCTTATCGGCCTAACCTCCCATTATTTCCCCTACCATTCTCCTTTCTGTGTTCGGGCGCTGGCCTTAAAAACAGATATTACTCCAAGTTTTCGACTCACCCCGTGCACACACACGCGAAAATAGTGCAGAGGGCGTTAGCCTCCTGGGCCGACCGTCGGAGCTGCTTGAAGCGCTTCTCGTCGTCTCTACGCGCCGTCTCCTCCTCCATGTTCCTGATCTTGCCCAAGAGCACGGAGGCGAGAAGGCAAGGGCCCACCACCGAGAACAGGGCGAGCACGAGGCCCGTGGAGCCGAGCAAGACCAGCCTGC